ATGACTCTAGGAGTTTTCAGATCTACATCCGGGACCAGCGTCTTCCACTCTGGTGCGCTCCTTAAGCACTCATGTCTGACCCTCAGTGCTGGACACAGTTGCTGAAGTACAGTAGACTCTCAGTGTGCTTGTGGAATAGACGGAAGACTTTTTGCATCACTAAGGACCAAACTCAAGGCCTCACGCACATTAGACAAGCACGCTACCTAGCATCACTACCTAAGCACCCTCACCCCAGATTCAAGACATTTTCAGGCCCTCTTCTACAAAATCTTCTCTGGTGCTAACTCTGAACCAAGGTGGTCATCTTTTAGAAGATTCATCCTTTAGAAAGTGAACAGAATTGGTTACGCCTGGGGCCACGTCCTGGGCAGGCTGAGCAGCAGAGTAGAAACATATGCAGCAAAATCCTGGGTTAACTTCGCCCAGGCCACGGTGTAGTGCAAAGGCACTGTCACGTGATCAATGATCCAAATGAAGTTGGTAGGGCTACCTCTGTCACTCTGCTCTGCTTTCACTGACAAGGACCCACAGGACAGCTGCAGTGACTTATGTTCACTCTCTATACGTCAGAAAACCTCCAGCCATATAAGGAGGTCTTAGTCAACTGACTGTACAGAACCTAAATAATCTATTCACACTTTCCTTGCTCTGCTATGTTTTCTTTACTTCAATCTCTTGGAGTAAAATACATAAAAAGTATGAACATTTTCATCATATCTGATGAGGTTAAAATATTTCAGACCTGTAGACTTGAAGTGATGTCTACGTAGAACAGTTATAATAATGTGATGGAAATTTTCATTCTTAAATTCTTTCTTTTTTTCAATGAACACTTATGCGTTTTCTCTAATTAACCTCTTCATTTTAAATTGGCTATCTTCGTTAACCTTTCACCTAGTTACCCAAGTCAAATGGCTGTCATTTCTGACTCTATGAGCTTTCAGATCTATGTCCTGGGCCAGTGTCTTCCATGGGACAGGTCTCTGCTGGTACTGAGGAAAATAAAATAATTTTAATTACAGTTTCAGTTCTAAAGGATTTTTGTCAGACCTCATTAACTTGACTCTTTTTACTTATCATTGTACTTTCAATGTGGTATTTGCAAAACATTAAAAAGTGCCCCCAGGTTAATCTTCTATAATAATTTAAGGAAACTATATGAGTATTGTAATCATAACTGCCTAATTAAGAACTAAAATACAAAAACAAATACTACAATATGTCTAAACATGTTTGTAACCTGTAATCTTTGTTTCCAAACATTGTTTTAAAGAGTAAGCCTTTTTTCAAGTAAAATGCTAATGACAAGCTCATAGAGAAAAAGCCCAAGCAGAATGTGTGGGATCACACAGCCTCTCCCCAGTCATAGCACTGGGTTGACTCAGACTCTGACCGTAAAACTCTGCAGTCACAGCAGGTGCAAGGTGCCTCAGGGCACATCTATCCCATCTCTGAACAGGGGATGATAGCAGATTTTAACTGATAAGCCACTGCTGTGACGGTGGTGGTTTTGAGATTTAGAAGAATGTACAGTTATAAAATACTTAGAAGAGTGATATTATTTATTTTATTACTATTATTATTCTAGAAGAATGTTTTACACTTCACACCAAAATACTTAGAGGAAAAAATTCAATTATCAGATGCTCTAATATCTATGTTTATCTTTAGCGCACAAAGATTTCTGGCTGTTTGGCTAAATGTTTAACTTCTGATCTGATGGGTAGCATAGAGCTACAGTTTATGTGGTTCTTGTATCAAGGTTAATTGGCATGATAAATATATGTCTTGCAGAGGTATAATGGGTGCTGATGCTGTCTTTGTGCTATTTTTCAAATTCATTAGATGCTTTAATTATAAAAAGTTCATAGAATTATAGAATTACCCTTAAGGTGAAAGAGGTTATTGATAAGGAAAAGAAAGCAGCTTGTCAAGTCTCTTCATAATGGTAGTTAAACTTCTTGATGATATTTAACTGTAATGAAACTCCCGCACACCTGTGACTCTGTCATTTGACAACTATGTTATTGACACTGGCTTTTTACCTATAATCTGTTCCCAGGGTCTGCACAACACAGGAAGAGATGAAGAACATAGTTTGCAAGACAGTTAAATTTGGGCTAAGGTCTCTGTCATGCTGGTAACCTGGGAAGCACATTCTAATTTCATCATTGCTGTAAAAATTTTCTTATGTACAATATTGGTACAATAAGGTGGTTTTTTTTTAAATTGCCAAACACTAGGAAATAGTTCTTTAGTTGATGGTTTCATAGTGTGTGCGTATGTGTGTGTGTGTGTGTGAGTGAGTGAGAGAGAGAGAGAGAGAGAAAGAGAGAGAGAGAACAGGAGAACTATGTACTGTGTTGCCATTACATGACAAAGCGAAGTCCTGGGGCCTATGGATTCTCTTCCACTTTACTTGCATTTCTTAGTGGTATGTCCTACATAATAAGTCTAATCTGTGAAACCTGACCTTTGGAATCCTATTGGTGATGAGGTTTGACTATGGAAGCAACATTGCCAAGGAAGTCCATGAATTAGGCATGGAACTTGATCAGATCTCCAGTGTTTAGGTAGCAAAGCAGACCCACATGACAGCTACCATGATAGCGCAGCCAGTGCATGGTATCACCCTCCCCCAAGAGGAAAAACAGTGCTTGCAAAACTGACCTTTAAATCAAAACGTCTATGTCAAAATGTACAAATTGTTCTCCTAGTTTGAAATCTAGGCTGGAAGGTTATTCAACTGAATCTAGTTCAGAAAAATAAAAGCCGTGGAATATTTCACTGGTTTAGAAAGTCTAACTAAAATACACTGACTTTATCTGTAAAAGCCAATGTAAGCAATATCTGGGAGGGTTTTTTGTGTGTTCATATTGGTTAGATTTGGAACCTGCCTTTTGGGAGTAAAATGACAGAGCTTTAATCTCTAGGAAAAAAATTCCCCAATACATCCTAGAAACTAGGATAATCCTTCATGAAGTCAGAAGCAGAAGAGAAAAAAGAAAAGAAAACGAACTTCCTCTAGCATTAAAAATAACCAAAACAGCAACTCTGATCCCTGTTCTTTCATTTCACCAGGTCTGACATTCTGCAGATGACCGCCCTGATTTGTCCCTCCATGTTTTCCAAAATATAAAAGTGAAATAGAGTCCCAAGGGCACTGTACTTGAAAGGTTATGAGAGTTAGAGAATTTTAACCATGCCTGCCAAATCAGCAGATGGCTTGTGATTATAATTATATGCATCAATAAAACGAATAATCTTTACAAAATTTGAATTTCTACTAAAGTAAGGGATTTAGTAAGCAGATGCAACAGAATGCATTTTCTTTAACCCTTTTGGTAGTCACTGGTATCTTTCACACAAAAAAAAGATGAAGGGCTCTGTGTATAATAGGTTGTATACTCTAATCTTTGCCCTTTTTCTGGACTCGTCATATTGCGAGCCTCAATCTTCTCCTGATTTCATTTTCTTCATAAGCATATTTCATCCTCACCTCGTTTTCACCCTTCAGAGTGGAAATGTGAACACTAATTCCCTACCATTGTTTGATATTTGAAAGAGGAAAATTTAATGTGGTAAATATCTCCATTCTCAATCATATCAAATATAGTTCAGAAATAAGCAAATAGTCATCTTTCTAGCCTAGCGTATTCCTTTATAAACTGTTTTCAATAACAAAGACTTTCTTTTAAAATATTTTTGAAACCTATATTATAGAATGAAAGTATTTATTCTATTTAGACAATTAGCTATTTCATTTTGATTTTGTTCTGCATAAAATTATAAGTAATGGTAACTAAGCTGTGTATCAGGCCAGGCACGAATAACAATACAGACAAACTGGACATATCAGTGACACACCCGATAAAAGGATGAGGTGAAGTTTTATATACTGGCCTTTAGCCATTTTCACTACAGAAGGAAAACCTCAAATTTTAGAAAAATTAAATGGAAGTAGCTATGCAACTTTTAAATTTTGGAAGAGGTCAAGAAAGTGTACCACAAAAAATTCAGATTTTTTCTTTGTAAAATAGTCAAGTCAACGTATTTCCTGGAATAATCAAGTGTGATTCTTCATTAGAATAGTTTAAATTAATATATATTTCACCCAAGAAAACCAAAATGTATAAATTTTAAGTATATTTAGACAACATGCATCCAACATAGATATTTAGAAATGTATTTATGCTGCATAAATCACATAAAATTCTCTGGCCTAAAAAGCTATTATACAATGAAGTTAATTCTATATAATGATGTAAATAAGTTACTAATAAAACTTTAAAGTCATTGGCATTCTCATGAGCTAATAAAATTTTGCTATAGACAAAAAATATGTGAGATCAGAAATTCTTCTTAGCATCAGCATTCTCTTGAAGTTGCTGTTTAAATGTACAGGTCAAAGTTTTTTAGAATAATTATTGCTATACTCCAAATCTAAACAGTTAAACCAAAAAGTAATAAATTCCTTTCAGAAAACTTATGTAATGCAACATTTGACAAAACAAAATTCAAATTGTTGTAAGGAAATCATATATTTCTTAACTCCCTGGCATGAAATTTCAAAGACAAAATATTCAGTAGTAAACCAGGTAAAACTTTTTTATGTGGGTGGCAAAATAAATAAAATATTTACAATAATAATATCTTTTAAGAGACAAAATTCATACTTAATCAAAGTTTCAATGGAAAAAAATATTCTAAGCCAAAACCTTACTTTTAAAAGTCAGTTACAAAAAATGCAATTATTAATAAGAATATGAAAAATAAACTCTATAAGCTCAATAGTTAAAGAACGTTGCAATAATTATTTAAATTATAGATATTTCATTTTTAAGGTAAAGGAAATTAAATATTTTGGCTTACAGAAAGTTTAAGCTGAAATATAATATAATTCTAATATGGTCTTTTGATAGTTGCCAATAGTACTATAGAAAGCATCTATTTAGTCATATATACTTAGAATGCCTTTAGTAGTTTTAACACATTACCTTAGACTTGACATGAGCATGCAGTCACATAAAATGGAATTGACACAATCCTTCAAGGGATCTCACAAAATGTGGGCTCTGAAAGTGAAAACAAAAAAAAGTTCTGAACTGGTGGAAGCAAACACATGGGAAGCGGCACGTCCCCTTACTGTCACAAACTCCAAGTTCAAGTTACAAACACGATACGCCAAAGCCTTGGAGCACCCACCAAACCCTGGACCCCCATCAAACAGGGCAGAAAACTCAGGCCCAGAAAAGCTCCAGAACTTATCCAGGGTCGCAGATTGAACGGACGAGCCAGGTTTCAAACATATGATAAACTTAAGACAGGACTAGCAAAGATTCTCTTGTGACTTTTGGTCCCCTGTCCTTATAACTGCCTTATTCTCTAGGCAAGGCTTTATCTCTTGTCTTAGGCGGTAGATGCTTAGCATACAGAAGGTTCCTAAATTGCTCACAGCACCTACTAAAATCCTTTGAACCAAATGGGTTTAATATTCACTTGTTAAATATGTGAGCTGGTATAAAAGTTCAGTAATACAAAGTTTCCTCTCTGAACAGAAATCAAGGTCTTCAAATTTTTTAAAGAAGGGAACTACACAACAGATAAAACCCAGAGAATTTTCTTTATTACACTGAAAAAAGAAAAGAAAACTCTTTCAAATAAAAGACCAGTACTGGTTGAAACAAGTTTGCATAAACCAAAAGTAATGATCTGTACCCTCTAATCTTAACCACAGCACAGCCCTGTTTTGCTTTGGAGAAGGGCAGTTACATTTCTGTGAAAGTAAGTCCACCCAGTTTATCCACAGAGCTGCAACTTACGGACTTCAGTCAAGTTTGCACACCCTTTGCCGTGCCCGTGAGAATGGGAGTGTATAGCATCCAAAAGGCTGGCGTGTTTTCTGAAACAGTCACTCCTGCACTGACAAGAGGAACATCACAACTATAGAAAATAAATTATAACACATGAGATTCAAACTGCAAATGTTCAGCACAGAAAGATCACCTGCTGTAGATGCCTGAAAGGGTAAATGAGTTGCATAAGTCTGCCTTAAAGTGAAATTGCTAGGTAGCAATTGAAGCCCTTTTCAGATGGGTTTGCTTTTTCCATGATTCCTACCATAAGGAGGGCGTAAGCATAAGTGACATATTAGAAAAATCTCAATTTAGTAACATCAAAATATATCTTCCCTACCTATATTTCCCTTGAAATTAACAAGACATTATTATTCTATCATCTTCAGGAAATTTATTTCCTTCTAAATATTGGTTACTATGAAAAGAATTCTTAGAGTTCAAAATACATCTTATTATATGCTATTCAGACACACACACCTAGTCCTAAAAGATTATATAAATGTAAAGAACACTGGGGATACATTTGAAAGAGGAAAAGTGCTTCAGGACAAAATTAGTAAAGAAGTATGTGACCTGTGATCACTCAGACCATATCATGAACCTATATTATGACTCTCTTATGAATATTAATAAGCTATTTATTCTGTATCAAAATATCTCTGTATCCTGACATAAGTAAAAATATTTCATGTAAGTACTGCAGGCTAGCAAGCTTATTTCTATAAAATCTAGAGTTTTAATCCTTGAACACATGATTACAGCATGTGTCCTAATATTAAATGACAGTGCCTTTAAAAATTGAACAGTGACACTGATATTATGAATACGCCTATTTTATAATACCACACTTACGTTAACAATACTTTTTTAATGTTTTCAATGACAATGTCAAGAGTTTATTAAACCATTGACAACCCACTTCAGCTGACAGTTCTTAGAATAAAACATTTAATTTACCTGAATGTCTTGTAACAAAATCATCCTCTCTTGAACTAAACATCCTCTGAATACACACACCTAAGGCAGACAGACATTTCAGCAAGGTGAATAAGACTTTCTGGCAACTTCCTGCTGCCATATTTCTCTAAAAGGATCCCTCAATGTTACACTTCAATACTGCAAACGCATTTTTCCAAAGGAAACGCTGCTTCAGTGTCAGATAGCTTTGATTTTCCCCCAAGTAGAGCAAGGAAATAACCACTAATCCTATTCAATATTACAGGCTCGCAGCAGTGATTTTATTTCCAGATTCAAGAGAACTGAAATACACAAGGAAGAGAGGAGCTTAATTTTCTTGTTTTGTTGTGTTTGATTGATTGATTTTTAAGATACTGATCAAGGAAACGGTTATCCCATATATGTTAAATACATATTAGGGGCTGGGACAATTCTATATCATCAAGAAGGAACCTCAGTGTACAAATTCATGCCCTATGTTTTCGTCACCTTTTAGAAGCAGTAGCAGAAACTGAAATTAAAGTTGCCTCATGCATTTGAAAGTTTTCAAACCTGTGCACACACCTGCGTGGCAGCTGTGTGTGAAAGCACCCTCTCTCTCACACAGAGCCGACCCCTCAGATTCCTGGTCACACTGCCTTTTGGTGTGTACTTGACTTTTGAAATCTACAAACTTTTGTGAAATGGCAAAAGCAAACAACAATAACAACAGAACAAGAGCACTGATCACTGAAGCAATATTTCCAGAAGTGATAGCAAAATCCCTTCATCCTGACCTACTTGTCGAGAGACGACGGACTTTCGGCCCCACCGTTAGGCTAAGATTTGTTCCACTTTCTCCCTAGGGCTTAATTGCCAGGCTGACTTACCGGTGCCTCCTAGCCTTTGTTCTGCCTCTCACGCTGACATCAGGGAAGCAGTGATGTAGAATAAAGCAGGGTGGGCTAGGTTAGTCCAGTGTTTGTGTCGTTGTGTGGTATGCAGGGACACTCTGTGATACTCTAGTGAGCTGTAAGCTTTTTTTGTAGGCTTTGTGTCATTTACTTAACGACCAATCTCATTAGCTGCCAGGGTACAATGGGCTGATGCATTTTCTATGTACACACTCTACACAGTGACCCTCAAGGTTGCCGAAGGTCTATTTAATCAGTCAAATGCTGAATATATTTGCAGTAAATCACTAAAAAA